GCCTATTTTATATACATTAACACAGGCTCTAATTTGGAACCAGAGAAAAATATCCGGTTTTCTTATATCCGGGTTTCTCCTATTTTATTACATTATCTAATTTGGAACCAGAGAAAATCTTTCTTATATCCGGGTTTATATCCGGTCTCTTATATCGGGTTACACTGTATCTTATTTATAAAAAAGCAATTAAAAGATTTTCTTATTAAATAATGTCTTAGTTTCATTTTCTGTTTTATGATTCTTATCAGATTTTTGATAAATGGTGTTTCTGTTTGACAAAAAATAAGTTGATTTAAATTCTCCAAGGAATCTTGCTTTTAACTAATATAAATATGAGAAGGATGGAATGTTAATTTCTCAAAATTTCATAAAATTAAATAGGAGTAACAGATGCAAAGCAAAAATATTTTTATCAACGTTTTTCAAAAAATAATTTAATTCATTCCTGAATAAGTTCTAAAAATTTTTAAAGATTTTCCAAAACTGTGTTTTTGTCGCAAAAAAAAGACGCTAAATTTCGCATACTAATCGTCGGTCCACCCACTGCCGCAAGAAAAACAAGATTTTAACCAAAATTTCGAACATGCTAAAAAGGTTTAAAAATTTTAATGAAATATTCAAAAAATATGTTGGTATAATCACTCAATAATAACATAAATATTTTGATGATAACACATTGGTTTTTATCAAGTTTGGGTCATTTTTTCTTATGGTTACTCTTTTTAGCGAATTCTTGGAGGTACGTACTGTAAAAGGAACCGGAGGCCTAATTCTAAAACAGAAAACAAGGGATAAACTTCTATTCCTGCTCAAAAGATTGGGGAGGAGTGTGAACCGGACTATAGTCGAACCTATCTAATCCTATTGCAGAGAGATTTAAAATAAAATAATAGATAAATAAAAAGTAAATAAAATTTCAGAGTTTAGGCGATGGCGTTACAAGTATAGAGTTGAAGTAGACATTAGAGTGAACCGAAAACTCAATCCTAAACAGGAAACAATGGATACACCTCTACTCCTGTTCAAAAAATCAGTGAGGTGTGTGAACCAGATGATAGACGAACCTATCTACTCCTATCTTTGTATATTTACTGAATTCATTTTCTATCCGTATGAAGTCTGTTTGCTGCCCGAGTATATGTTTTGGATTATTCCAATACCCTTCCCAAATATGTCAAGGTTACCTAGCAATCCCAACACTTCTTACGTTTATTAAATCTTTAAAAGCCATTATTGACGCGGTTATTTCTTATTTAGTTCTGCATGAATGCTATCTTGTGCCGAAGATCTACGAACCCAGTAAACAACGGAATAAAACTTCCCGTCCGGGTGTAAGTATGTCGTCTTTAATCGTGTTTCATGTCAGTTTTATTTGCTTTTAATTTAGCTCGATGCTTAGAGATGCTTGTTGACTTGCCAAATTCACGTTAGGGAACTCGAATTGCTATTTGCTTTATTGAAGTGTCTGAAGTGACCACGAAAAGGATAAAACTAGAACAAATGAAGGCGTGAGGGGCGGTAGTGGTGATTTCGTTGTGAATAGCGACCGTCAACCGACAACAAAAAATTGAAATACCGAGAATAAAAATTTTACTTACTAATGTCAGTGGCTTGTCCGTTTCCGACGTCCCGAAATGACTATTAAAATCTAGTTACGCCATACTGCCCCTTTTATTCATGTACCATAATTAAAGGGACGTTGAATTTAAGAATCACCATAAAAAATTTTTAGTACAAATTTGGAATGTTTTTTATTTTCCTTTTTCTTTTCCTCATTATCTAGTTGGGCAGTTTGACGAGACGAAGAAAAGTGTAAACAAGAAATTATTTCAAGCAGATATTTCATAGTTTCATATTAAACATTTTTATTGATAGTTCATCCAATAAAATCCCAAGAGCCACTCAATATAGAGGGTTATTGAGATTATGAAGGAGAAGGAAAGATGAAGTAAGAGGACTTGTAGGATAAATATAGGTTGTCCCTGGACTTAAAAAGGCCAAGATTATAGGAAAGCATTCTCTCTTCCACAAAGTAACAGGAAGAAGCTTTCTGGGTGGAACAAGAAACGAATAGAAATAACTTGTCCCCGTCAACACAGCGCGACTGGTCCTAACTGTGAATATCTATGCTGGTGACACTAAGAAATGTAACTCGTCCAAATATCTGTCATCGCATTAGCGTTATAGTTTTGAAAGGCTGGCGACGTTTCGTTTTCGTATATGTGTTGCAAGATCTAGAAATAATTCATCACCCACAAGGGCACATTTTGAACTCTATAAAGGTTGGGCTGTCAGGATTTTGCATCACCAGTCTAGATATATCAATAATACACCATTCTTGGTCTGTTCTGATTTTTAAAGTTCAAGTATGTTAGCATTTTCTGTGGCAATACAAAGAACAATCATTCCTCCAGTATCTTTTACGATTACACCATTATATGCGTCCCATTTAAGCTCGTGTGAGCATTATCCCCAGTAGGTGTTCGAAGCAAGGGAATTCTTTGTGGGTATGACCACTTATCATGATTCCTTCAGATTTAGAGTCTGTTAATAGCAAATATTACTGGTCCCACATTTTCGAGAATCCCCCCTTAAATATTGTCAATCTGTCTGGCATATCGTAAGATCAGGAAATACTTATTCGACATTTGAATTGAGGCAACCCAGAGAGAATTAAAAGGCCGCAATATTAACAACAGAAGATATGCAGATGACTGAGTATTGATAGAAGACACGGAAACGAAATTACAGGAACGCATCCAGATGCTGTATACCCTCATCGTTCTGGATAGAGATTTTGGTTGACGTGGTGTCAATCCCACAACAAAGCTGCATTCTTCTTCTGTCTACTGGTCGGGTGATCGCTAGATTTTGGTTTGTTCGAAGGTTGAATGAGAACTTAAACAAAAGGTATATTTAAACTTATCCATATTATTAATACGTTGACGTGTACATTTTTGAATGAGGAATACCTGTTGCAAAACGGAAAAGGTTGGAAAGAAAATAACCAAATATTATAACATCAACAAAATACAATACTCATCGCCAGCGGCGGAAGTAGGTAAACCACTGGTATATATATATATATATATATATATATATATATATATATATATATATATATATATATGTTGTAACCGAGAAAATGTTACTGAATGAGGAATATAAAAAACGGAGGTTGGAAATGAAATAGAACTTTATAACATCAACAAAACAATATTAACAGCGGCTGAACTATTAAACCACTGCTAAAACAGCATATCACTCTCAACTTACAACAGTGTTCAACGTATTTATGAGGTTTGGGACATACTCATTAGTGTTCATAGGTACGGTATATAACACTATCCCACCCTATTGGAGAACAGTCTACATCCACGACATTAACGCGTCTGTATTCTACGACGTGTAAAACTTAACTCCCTGAAAGCACTTTTTAACACTAAAATTCCCACTTTCGACTCAGCCATTCAAAAACAATTTCCTTTGTTTTCCTGTATCTGACCTCAAAGGTCAAAATGAGCAAGTCGTAGGAAATATTATTCTTTGAAAAACAATAGTTTGCTAGACTATTATTTAACATAGAAAGCGGTAAAAGAAAGCGATATGAAAAGACATCAATTCTAAGAAAAGGGAATATATGGATGTTAGTAATAGAAACATCCTATGATGCGAACTACGAACTGAAGACACAAAACCGAAGCAAGTATTAAAATTTAAATATCTGTAAAGTATTTTTAAAATAGTACGAAAAAGATGACACCAAAAACCGGTGAGATTGAATGGCGAAAGATGACTTCTAAAAGCTAAGAAAAGTATTACGGAACATGAAAATTTCGTTAGAAACAGAGAATATTGAACTGTGATAATCCTCCAGCATTCACTGTCATATGCCAGTAAATGCTGGCCTATCTCTGTACAGTTGAAGAAGACACTAGAATCGTGGGGATATCATTCTACACAATGATACTGAGAACACCATGGGCTGAATATGTGCCAGTTTGAACAGAAAGAGAGCGAAATGAAAGGGGAGAATACAAAGCGTAGTGTATCTATATGGAATGCGTTTTAGTGGCACTGAATGTTTCAAGACTTGAATGCTGTTTGTGTGTATGTGAGCACGCGAAGACATAATAAATATCAAGTGGCTGAAATCAAGTCCTACCATAATGCTTATTTACAACATGACCTTCTTTGTTCAGGCCCACGACGAGAGCAGTATTTTTGAATTCGGGTGGGGCCTATATACTTAAGACTCACGTGTCTAAAGCAGTGTCACATGACTATATATCAAAGGTGAAATAACTTCCCATTTTTGCCACAAATGTAATAAGATTACTACTTAGTGCCACGAATTCAGACCTTCTCAGCTAGGATCCGCCTTATCACATAGCCAGGGTCGAACTATCTTCATTTACTTCGTATTCCATTTATAAGGAAGAAGTTTCTCTCAGACATTGTCTTTCCCAGAACTCTTACTTTGTAGAAGAGACTCCCGTAAAAATGTTTCAAGTCTCGAGTCAGAATTTATCTATCCTACACATCCTCATATGTACTTCTTACTTCTTCCCTTTACGCGCTTACAACTACCTTCTTCAGTAAGCCTCTACCTTGAGTGGCTCTTCAGCTTTATATTGGCGAACAATAGTATAAAAAACGTTAATGATAATAAATTATGATTGTTTACCGTCGACATTTATCAAAGATGGAAACTAACAGAGATGTTCGTTATTTACATTATTCGGACTATTGTCCTCATCTTTGTCGCCATATTTATTACAACGAGCGAAATAAAGTGTTCAGTTCGACATTCCAAGCCCCCTGAACAAGGCTGCAGCGTACAACGGCCGAAACGTTGTAATAAATATTTTTGAAGACAAAGACGAGGACAGTAGTCCGAATAATGTAAATAATGTACATAAAACTTCATCTCAGAAATAGAGACAGATACTAACAGAAATGTTATCACACAGATTCGCTTGTTTCTCCAACAACATCTATTCTCTTTTCTTACGAATGATACACCTGATGACGGCCGAAGAATGGGTCGGGAGAAACGCTGATGTAAACAAGATCTAAAGCATAAAGTAGTTTTATTTCTACGAATGGAATGTTTATTTCGTTCTGTTAAACGAGTCGATTCTTTCTCGTGTGGCATTTTGGGAAGGTGATTTGCAGCGGCCGAGCAATTCGAAATGTCAGAAGCGAAACCTTTTCTACATTTGAAAACACGACGAAAAAAAAAGAAAGAATAAAAAAAAGAAAAATATACAAATGTAGAATAAAACCAAAAAGCAGCAAGAATTACAGAAAGAAAAAAAAAAGATTTAATTCTTTCGAGATCATTTTACACAGAAACATCGGTATTTTTTTAAAGCAATTGGGCCAGACATATTACAAGAAACATGCATTTTATGCAAGTATTTAACTCTTAAAACACAGTTTTATCAACTCCTACCACTTATTAATACTAGAAACACCTGAATATCTACGATCACAGAATATCCGTATATATATATATATATATATATATATATATATATATATATATATATATATATAATATTTATTTAATGAAAAACAGGCCAATTTAAGGTACCATTACAATAATTTATTTCACCAAAATCCTTTTAAAGGACTCCGGATCATCAGGTAACAATTCCAACAACGAAATATATATATATATATATATATATATATATATATATATATATATATATATATATCTGAGATAAGGCATTGTGAATACTTTATTTACAATATTCGGACTATTATCCTCATCTTCATTATCATATTCACGTTTCGGCCTTTGTGCACTCTGACAATCTCCCTGTGGGATGAGGTTGAAATAAAAGACAGATAACATCATTAAAAATACGAAAACTTAAGGAATCAGCATATATACTAAGCCTCAAAAATTTCCATAATATATTGTACTGTAATTGTCATCTTTGATAATGGCTTATGTAAGCCGAAAGCTTAGATTGGATTAAAAATATGTATTAATATTGTGATTTTCTTTCTTCGTTTAATGATAATGTTATTAAGCTTATCAGACGTTATGAAAAGAATTTACATAAAATAAATAGACAACACTTGTCTATATTATTTAATGAAATATGTATGAATATAATATATATATATATATATATATATATATATATATATATATATATATTATTTTATTATATATATATTTAGTTCATATAATATTTTAAAAATTTTTAAATATGATTTTATGTGTTTATTGTTATTTTAATCTTCTTGACGTTTCTAATATGAAGTAAAAGTAAAACGACACGAGTTTTAGTTTTCATATATTATTTACGAAAAACCGACGTATCTTCGAAAATGACTTAACTCGAAACGACTTAATCCGAGGAAGCACTGTAGCCCTTTATATATGAGGTATTGGCAGGAGGCATTAAACACTTCCTTTATTTATCGCCATATCCCCGTCTTACGAATATTTCTCTTAATAATCATTTTAAAATAATTCAGATGCTGTGCATCGGAATGATGGCGCTTCTATTGAGGTCGTATCTCAGCCTTCTGGCTGAGATCAAAAGGTTTTATCTGTTCTTATCAACCTAATCTGACTCTCTCTCTCTCTTTTTCTCTCTGATTTTTTTTCTTTCATTATCTCTCACTGAAACCAAGTAATATCTTTTTACCTCTTTCCACGTGATTAAAACGAGGAATAGTCCATTATTTATAAGGTATTGGCAGAGCGTAATAGTCGTGCGAACTAACGAGGGGTGGTGGACAAGCACTATTATATTAGGATATTTTCTTTTTTTACAACGATCTTTATATTTGCCTGTATCGTTATTTAATTGATTTAGATGTAACGAATTTATAATATTTTATCTCTGTTCGATTCATGATTAATTTGACAAAATAATTCCCGCAGTAAGCTGCTGTTAATTTCTCCGGTAGAATAGAACATCCTGTTCCAATTTAAATTAAGTCATTAAAATGTGCTTGGCCGTTACTAACAATAAGAGAAATGAATATGTGAAGACTAAAACGTAAAGAATATTGATAGTCGCTTTTCAATCTGTGATGACATCGCTAGTATTTTATTTAATCAAGTTCACCTCAGGAAAACATTAAAGCCATTAGGGCACAAAGGGTTACTGGGTGTGGAAGAATTAGTCAACAGAAACACCACTAAGTAGCGAGTACAGAAGAAGAGTCATCAGGAGAACAGTAGATAGCTATTGACATTACATTTAAATTTTTAAAGTTGAGATAGCCAACGTAAATATAAAATTCTACATTGAGATCAACACCCAGATGGCCTGAAGATTCCGTTTAACGATGAAACACACTGTCACCGTTGGGTGTTGACATCAATGTCCACTTTTAGATTCATTTATATATAACATTGATCTGGAAACGTAGGAAGTACAAACATCCAACCGAAAGGATTGGCGTAAGTCAAGTTGCAATAAGTAAAAGGCTTTTGAAGACAGTAGATTGAAATTCCGTGATCATCTACGTCAAGCTCTGAAGCAGAGACGCCTTCAAAATCCTGCTTTAGCAAATTTCATCTGTCAGTGTGGCTTTGTCACCTGCTGCATGGCTGGGCTTGTATCGCACTTAAGAAAGCACAACAAAATATGTCTTTCAATTACCTGATTTTCTGCTAGCACGCATAAGTGTAAAACGAAAGGTAACATCTATTGCTAACCCTCACTTATCGATCACGATAGAAGAGTCCGTATATGGAAATTTTAGTATGGATTTTTTATTAATCCCACAGATTTTTTTTCACTCAGTCCTGAGAGACGCAAGTTTAAATCCTACTGAAGGGTGCAAATTTTTCTTTAATAAGATTTCTCAAACATTGTGTATATACTCACCTTCACCATTCAATATACCATGTTCAGTGAGGAATGAAGGTGTATTTGAAATGCATCAAATCGTAAGATGAAGATCCTTTTGAACGAGCTCGCTTCCAGATATATTAAACGAAAACGTTGTGTCCCGCAAGGCTCTATCCTGGGTCCCACGCCGTTTCTGATCTTTATCAATCATCCCCTCCATGTCATCAGTTCCCAACTAGGTTTTTATGCAGATGAAACTGCCATTTACACCTGTCTAAATAGCAAATCCATCAGATCTGACTAAATAAACCTGGCAGCTGCTCTTGAAGCGGCCCTAAAATAGGTGGTTAGATGGGGCAGGAAATGGCTTGTAAAAAAACAGCTTTCATTTAACCACTATAGAAAACTTTTTCTGCCTGGTATTAGCATGGCACATGCTAGACTCCAGGAGAACGGTACATTGCACCTTCTCGGCCTCATGTTTACAACTGACTTGAAATGGCGCGATTTTATCAAATCAATAGCTGCATCTACTGCTAGGAAAGTTGGCTCACTCTGTTGTGCCAGAAACTTATTTTCATTAGAATCCTTCTTCCACATTTACAAATCTACCATTCATCCATGGATGGAATGCTACTGCCATATCTGGCCTGGTGTTCCTGCTATACGTCTAGACATTCTTGACAAAATCCAAAGAAGGATCTGTAATGTAGCCAATCCTGACCAACCATCTCTACTAAAGCCACTTTCTCACCAATATGGCATGGATTCTCTCTGTCTTTTCTACACATATTTTCATGGCATCTGCTCTGGCAAGCTTTTATCCTGGCGCTCGGACTATAACATTTGACTTCACACAGTAATATCCTTCTATTATGTGCACCCTTCAAATGAATGCTGTAGGTCTTAGCAACGCCCATCATTCAAGCCTCATGGACTTGCGCTACAGAAACACAAAGAAGTGTACCAGATAACAAAAGCTACATCACTTGAGGATGTTCAACATCAGATACAGCTAAAATGGATAACATATGTATGTCATCAACTCCCAACTAGGTAATTCTGCAGATAATATTACCATTTATTCCTTTCTCAATAGCAAATCCATCCGAGCAGCCAAACTAAACCTGGCAGCTGAGGACCTCCAATATGTGATTAACTGGAGCAGGAAATAGCTTGTAAATTTGAAGTCCTCCAAAACAAAACTGCTTTCATTTAGACACCATAGACAAACTTTTCTGCTAGCCATCAGCATGGCTAGACACGAGAGCAACTCAATGCGCTTCTTGGGCTCACATTTCCACTGACTTGAAGCGGAGAAACTACATAAAATCAATGGCTGTATCTACTCTAAGGAAAGTTGGGTCACCTTGTCGTAACAGAAATTTTTTTGGTCATAACCTATTTGGCACATTTATAAATCTAACATTCGCTAGTGCACTGAATATTCCTGCTATATTTGGACTGATGGCTCTTTTGAGATTATCTCTTGGTATTCTGGGTAGAATCCAAAGTAGGATCTGTAATGTAATCGATCCTGATCTGGCATGTCAACTTCAGTCACCTTCTCACCGACGTGACCTGACTTTCGTCTATCTTTTCTACAAATATTTTCATAGCAGCTGCTCTGATGAGATTTTTTCCCTGGTGCTTCGACTACATGAATTTAAACGTGACACAAGATTGACATCTAAGTCCCGCACTTTTACTGTTGAAATAGCTCAATGCAACTGTCACTTTTAATCCAAAATTTTCTATTCTTGCACGTCCTGCATGTGGAACTCCCACCCATTTATTTATTTCCCTAATAAATACAATCTTCAAGAATTTAAATGCAACGTCAATTGTCATCTTCTGTCTTCATTAATTTTCTTCATCTTTTTTCCTTTCCTCAGTCCTCCCTGTACTGCCTTTTCACTCAATTTCACTGTCTGTAACGCCGGGAGTACCAGTGGTATTCCAGCTTTGCTTGAGGTGAAATGACACACACACACACACACACACACACACACGCACTATATATATATATATATATATATATATATATATATATATATATATATATATATATATATTATTTTATAGGAGATTATAATAAAAACTTATTTGAAATCTCTACAAAACAGGTTCCATGTTTCAATACTTTGGTTATACTTCTTCAGGCGATGGTAAGTAACTGGTAATGAAATGATTTTTAAGAAAATTTAAAAACTATATGTTACCTCTTTTCTGAAACGGTCAGAATTAAAAACAGACTTGTGGGCATGTTTTGATTAGCTAATTAAATGTCAGATCTACGCTAAATAGAAAAGTAAGGTAAGATGGTGGAGATGGGTGAGTTATTTTTTTATACCGTGATAAACTGGAACATAGACAGGGCATCATTGAAGATTGCGGAAAATATGTCAGCAATCGTCAATGCTTTCATCATGCTTTTATTATAATCTCTTATAATAATAATAAAATTATATATATATATATATATAAACAAATGAAAGAAAGAACAGATGAAGTAAAATTCCATTGATCGTAGCATTTCCTTTCAAAAAAGTGCTCTATACAAAATAGATCTATATATTATTATTTTTATTATTGGAGATTATATAAACATGTAATCGCTACACAAAATCGTTCATGTTTCAATTATTTGATTGTACTTCTTCAGTAGATGGTGAGTAACTAGTGATTAAATGATTTTTAAGGAAATTAAAAAACAAAGCTTTACCTCTTTTCCGAAAGTTAAGGTGGGAGGGGCATAAGGTCAGAATTAAAAATAGACTGGGGCGTATGTTTTGATTAACCAATTAAATGTCAGGTCTGCGCTAAATAGAAAAATAAGCTGAGTGGGTGGAGGTAGGTGAGTTATTTTTTCATGCCATGATAAACCGAAACATAGACATAATCACTCACAATAAAAATAATAATAATATATTGCTCTATTTTGTATTGAGCACTTTTTAAAAATAAATTTTACTCCATCCGTCCTTTCTCTCGTTTATCTTATTATAAAACGCAGATTGTGTGTGTGTGTGTGTGTGTGTGTGTGTGTGTGTGTGTGTGTCTGTAACGTTTATATATTGGATCGAATTTTCTACATTTTTTAGCCGATTTCAACAAAACTTCACAGGACTACATAAAATTACCTCGTGATGGTTCTAATGGCACCGAAAATGGGAAAAACAAAATTATTTTTTAACAAAATCAATTTGAAAACACGATTAAGACACATCGTGAGAATGAAAGGGGGACAACTCACCCACGAAAATGTAAACAAAAGAGCATAGCATGATGAAAAAAAAGCCTAACTTGACGAAAAAAAAATTATCGTCTAATGTTCATATTATTATTAAAGAGGAAAGATCAAAGTATTTTGGGGGTATTTTTTTTACATTTTTTAATCGTTCCTAGCACGTCTGAAATTTTCGTTGGCGTCTTTTTCATCAAGCTATGCTCTTTTTTTAGCGATTTCGTGGAGGTACCTACTTTTAACTAATGTTAAAATATTTTTAAAAATTTTTTAAAAATCTTTTTAAAATTAAAGAAATAAGAAATAATTGTATTAAAAATTCAATTTTCATTTCACCTATATATATATATATATATATATATATATATATATATATATATATATATATATATATAGGTATAGAGTAATTATATTTATTACTTAACTTTAATATATATAGTTTAAGTTTATATATATATATATATATATATATATATATATATATATAGGGTTAGATAAATGAGATAACTATATATTAGTGACCGTAAAACGCGTGCTGGCGTGAATACGCTGGAAAGCAAATAATTAATTACCAAATAATAGTGCTCAATGTGATTAGACAGAGCTAAGAAATATATATTAATACACATATACATACGTTTGATGCTCAAACATACTCGAGTTTCGTTGGTCATACGTCTTTTACGAACAGCGTCCAGCGATCAAATTTTAAATTTGAAATCACACTTCAATTTCCTTTTTTTTTTCTCTTTTTTATATTTATTAACTGATACCTGCACATCATTTCCTGCACTTAAACCCAGTATTGCTTTAGTACTAGTTGACTGATGAGTTGGGTAACCAAAGAAACTCGAATCTTACATCAAACGTACATATATATGTATTTATTATATATATATATATATATATATATATATATATATATATATAAACTCAAGTTGTGTAACATTTCTGCGCTACAAACCATCATCAATATTTTGTTTGTCCTGTCGACTGTAAGACAATGTGGCGCCTACTTCCACCTCCTGAGTATGACGTTAAATACATCCACCAGCAAGGCCTCTGCTCAGGAGATTTTGAGGAACGTGGAACCATCCCTTAATTGCTGGTGTTCCCAGGTCCACCTTGACTCGGGATGACAGTACTTGTTAGGGTGCCAGCCATGGACAAATTGTTAACCCCCAAACTGGGGTCAAAACATTATGAAATGTAAAAATAGGTTTTAATACCAGCAGTATATTTTTAAAAAAAATATTACCAGCAATAAAAATCTGTTGACCTTAAATATCTCATTGAGGTTGATATTCCGTAAGACAAATAAAAACACACCAAAATATACTGAGATAGATAGATAGATAGATAGATAGATAGATAGATAGATAGATAGATAGATAGATAAAAAAATATTACCTGCAGTAAAGAGCTTTTCGATATTAAATAAGCCATTGAGGTTGATATGCCGTAAAACAAAATAAATCAAATCAAACCATTATTTTGTTCTCTGACGTAGAAATTAGAATTCATCAAGGGTAATGGTGAAGATAAACATTCCCATACAAAAATATTAGGCATTCATTGACCAAACAGTCAGTGTTACAGTCGTTTAAAATTTATAAAATCTCTCTCTTAAAGCAGTTTATCAAGAAATAAGTCTTGTCAAGTACATTAAGTCTTATGGCCATTTCCAGTATTTATGGGGAATTCCTTCCTAAATTTTTGTCTAAAGTATTGGGGTCTGTCAGCATATGATTACACCATTATTTGCGCTTCGATTTACAAGAATTACTTTTTTTATTTCTTTTATTTTGATACTCTGGTATTAATTTTGAAGAAAAATAATAAAGTGCAAGTAAAATATAAGAACAAGGAAATCCTTAATTTATATAGAATTTGATGTCATTTTTCGTAATTCTTCTGAGAATAAGGGCGAAAAACAGTGGACTCTGGTATGGTCTTTTAAAATTAAATGGCGAGAAACGTTTCAGTCAGTTGCAAAAGCGACCATTTTTTTCTCTCCTTCTTCTCTCCATAGTCGAAGCGTATATATTCTCGAAATGTTAGATAAACAAAATAAAGAATAACTTTAATTGATGTTGCGATAAATGAATCTTCTTTCTTAGTAATGGACTACGAAGGGGTGGGTAGGATTTGCACGGAGGATTTTAGCCGAGAATGTCTGAACTGTTGGAGCTAACGGATGTTGCACATCTTTACATTTGCCATGGAAATCATGATAGATTAGCAAGAGCTTTTCAACGCTTACTCTGTGAGAAATGGGTTGTAGGGTGGAAAATAATCCAATAATCTACAAGTCCGTGTAGTCGATTCAGAACTCTATGGAGAGAGAAATGTGAGGACTGGGCAGTTCCATTCCAGATAGAGCTGTTTTACTACATTTTTCCACGGATCTGGCTCTTGTAATGGCATAGCACAACAGGAGGAGTCCGGTATTTTCTGGAACGATAGAAGGAGCCGACCATTTTTCTGGCATCTTTAGCGATGGGTCGAATGTACTAAGGTCTGGCTTAACTTTAGTCCCAATAGCTATGCAAGGAACAGAGCCTGTTCGAGAATACAACCATTTATCATGAGAGGCAAACATTAAGGGTCTGCTCGGTGATGACGAAACGTTACTTGTTTGGTTTGGGGGTCTTGACTGTTACAAACCATTTGCCCCCCATTGAATAGAACTACTAAAATTTGTCGTTGGGTCCAAAAAGTATTCATTGTCCACCGACAAATGAAAGCTACATTTTACAGAGAATGTTTCACTTAGGAATTTCTGGCCGAAATAAGACAGGTCAAGATCATTTCAGCAGCACGTTGTTTACCAATATTGGTTCCGTACATATTCACTGTGGACTTGATTGCTTTCTAAGTTGAGAGGAAGCTGTGACTATCAGAATTAGAAACACTTGTAAAATATGAAGTTAACATCTGCCAGAAAAAAACAGTTCAAGTAATAAGGGAACAAATAAAGATTTTGTATAATGGCTGACAGAATGAGTGGACTGGTTTAGATAGATAGATAGATAGATAGATAGATAGATAGATAGATAGATAGATAGAAAAGCAAATTGAGACAGATTAACAAATATAAAGACGAAAAAAGCTAGATAGATAGATGCGAAGAGAAAGATAGATATATACGAACACATAGATAGATAGATAGATAGATAGATAGATAGATAGATGTAAAAGAAAATGAGATAGACTGACAAATATAAAGACGAAAATGATAGAGAGAGAGAGAGAGGATATTAGATAGAAATTGACATTGCATTTAAATTTTTGCAGATTAAAGTTAGCTGAAAAGCATATAACCGGAAGAGAGTTCTACCAGAAAGAAGTACGAGAAAAGAAACTTAGCATAAAAACTTACGGCTACAACTAGCTAGCTCAACTGCAAATGAGACGTCGACGCTAGTCTAGTATTGCATATAAATTCATATAGTCTACGTGCAATAGCTAAGAGCTCACCTGAACAATAATTTATAGAAAAGACACAAAGAGGCAACCTTACACCAGTGGGAAAGTAACTGAAGCCGAGACCTCAGATCAGGACCAATAATATTGCTGATTTTTCTTTGGATCTTATCAACGAGCTCGCGGTAAACAGCAGGGACACCGGAACATATGTGACAGCAATATTCTAAACATGGATAGATATCTGAGATAGAATACGAAGAGAAAAATTGGCTCGCACGACACGGTGAACAGAGTTTCTTAGCAGTTGACCTAGCAATGTATTCATGAGAGTTTTTCCACTTCATGTCAGTCGAGAACGTTAGACCGAGAAGGCACAACGAGCCACTTTCTTGGGGGTTAGCATCAGCCATGCTTATGGAATGCAGAGAGGCGTCTCTCAGATAATCCCTGTTTTGCTCCAGCTTACGATAGATTTGAGGTCGTATTGGATATTGGCTGCCATTTTGACCTTGTCGGACTGATCAATCTTACTATTAAGGCAATATCAAATGTTTGCATCGTCAGAGTAGATACGAAGTTGCGTGCTGATATCATGGGGAAGGTCGTAAATGAAACTCAAAAACAACGTAGGACCACGGATGTGGCCCTGGAAGGACACTTGCGTTAGTAGTAAAGGATAGAGACGAGTGGCCGTTCAGGAAAACTATCATTCAGGATTAGATAAGAAAGACCAAATAAGCTCAAAAATGTAATCGCAGTCACTGCAACTTATTAGCTTGTAGAGAAGATATTTGTGCTAGACCCTGTCAAAGGCTTTTGAGATGTTCAGTGCTACCGCCAGGGAATTCACCATTTTTTTAGCTAGAGAATGGTAGACCTTTTTCCGCAATCCTAACCAGGAAATTAGTATTTGTCATGTAGAAACGAAAGCCCGTATTGCTGGTCTGAGAAAAGCTCCTGCGAAATATATATATATATATATATATATATATATATATATATAAGGAAAATGGACAATTTAAGTAAATGCTCTGTTTTTAATAAATAATTATAATGATATAAACAGAGCATTTACTTGTATTTGTATCTATAAAAAAAGAATGTATAAACATAACAATGTCTTAAAATAATTATCGGACTTTGTCCATTTCATGATGTGTGACATCATTTGTTTACATTTGGATACGCATTGAGCAGATATGAATGTCGAGAGAAAATCATGGAGAACTTTAGTTTAAAAACAATAAAATCAACCTTGCTAAAGCATTTACTTAAATATTTGTATCTATAAAAAGAATGAACATAATAATATCATAATATATATCTATCTATATATATATATATATATATATATATATATATATATATATATATATATATATATATATTAAAGGAAAGAGAATCCACAAACGTTTCTGGTTATAACGTGGATTTTTTTAAATGTATGTTATACTTTACTTTCAATATTTTTGCTACATTTATTACGAGTCTTGTGAGCTTCATCAAGCGAAGAATTGTTATTTCCACATATTATGTAAAGGAATTAATTTTTTCCCTATGTATTCTTATGTTTAAGCATTGTATTTTTTGTGTAGCAGTTACGAAATTCTTCTTGGACTGGTTGAAAATTTTCCCTTTGCTTAACGGAAAACAAAACAATCAGGATTGGTGGGAAGGATGACGTTTTTGAGACTAGCATTTTATTTTCTCTGAATCATTTTCAGCTTTTCTTCATTTTTTTTAATGGGTATGTATTTTTGTTAGTATGTCCAAATATACATTTCTTCTCCATACATATATATATATTTTTTTATTATAAGGAAATAGTCTATATATATATATATATATATATATATATATATATAATATATAGGATTAGTATAGGATTGTGTATACGGAATAAATTCCAATAGCCAACAGATACTATTCTTAGAAGAGTGCTCAATACAGAGTAGAGTAAATATAATTATTTATTCGAAAATTATAACATAAATATATTATAATTTTGGAATAAATAATTATATATATATGTATGGTGTTTAGGCTTCGTGTGTGCGTGTGCCCCACCTAGTTTGTTTTTCTGCCAGTATCTCTCTCTCTCTCTCTCTCTCTCTCTATATATATATATATATATATATATATATATGTATTATAAAGAAATCTATAAAGTTTAATGCATTTTGTGTATGTGTGTATGCGCACCCGTGTGCGTGTGTATGTGTTGTACGAATAGTGTGTTTGTCCACTATATGTTTATGTTATGGGTTTATGTGTGAGGCGTTATGGTTTGTTTAATGCAAGTTTAAATTTGTCTGTTTTTTTTTATTTGTAGGTAATTGTCTGCTCGATGTATTGGCATAATTTTACATTTATTCTTGTTGCATTTGTGGATGTTTTGTGACACAACATATTTCATTTTGTCTGGTAATGTAATGTTGCTTTTGCGAAGGGAAACTCTGTTGTTTAGTGCTTGGATGAGACCTATATATGACCTGTTGCATTTTGTGCACTTTAGCGCATAAATCACATTTTTGAAGTTGTAGTCTAATTTTTTTTCTTTATTGTTATGCCTTTTTCAACAGCATAGGAGTTTCCTTCTATGATGATACCACAAATCCCACGTCTTGTTGCATTTTTGACCCCTTGTATTGTGTGTTGACTAAATTTGACTGAGGTTAATATGTGTTTTAGATTTTTGGTTGACGTTTGCTTTTAATTATTTTGGTTGTTTTAAGTATATCTTATATTTTATCATTCTTTTTAATGGGTCTAGAATTCTTGTTATTTCTGTAAATAGTTCTGGATTGTTCTTGTATGTTGAGTCATTGCTAGAATTTGTTCGTTGTTGCGTTTCTTTGGGCTTCGTAGTTGGTCTATAGGTATTTTTTCTTCTAGTTGAACATCTTTATTTATTAGTGGTGTAGTGTATCCTCGTTTGTTCAGAGTTTTCTGTAATTCTTCTACGCGGGGTTTTCAGAGATGTTTGTCGGCCACTGTAATGTAACTCCTACATGAAAGGGAATAGATGATGGATTTCAGACAGTTTTTGCGGGGGGGCTGATGGCTCTTGAAATGAAGATATTGTTGGCTATCTGTTGGTTTGTGGTAGATATATGGGATAATATGATTATTGCTATTTCGGATGAGTATATCTAAGAATGGCAGTTCTTTAAAATTACGTTCTTTGGTGAATGTAATCTTCGGAGTAAGTTTTGGAGTAGCTTATGTAACTGGTTAATATCGCCCCATGAAGATTTCTAGAAGATGAAGCAATCATCTAATTATCGCTTCCAAGATTCAGAGAAGTGTTTTTTTATATATATTTCCCCATATATTTGCTCTATCTTTTCATAGAGATTTTCCTCTAGGTAAGCTAAGGTTAGGGTGGCAAATGTTGGTACCATATTTGTTCCCATTGCGGTACCTAGGGTTTGAATATAGTTTTTGTTGTCAAATAAAAAAGTGATGTTCAGGATCAGATCTATACTATCGATAATGAATTCCTTGGTGAATTTGGCATGTTATATTTCTGGCGTTTTCGAATCAGAAAAAAGATTGCTTGTTTACGTAATTGTTGGTGTATGTGACTATGTAGGCTAATAATGTCAAACGTTACCATGAGTGTTGCTGGATCTACATTTTATGGTATGGAGCTAAGTAAGTGGATATCGTCTCTGATGTAGCTCTTAATCTGTTTGGTAAATGGTTCTACTATGGAACCAATTAGGTTTACTGAATCTGCTAATTGGACAGGCAGGTCCTGTTACCATGAGTAGGAACGTAAGGTCACTAGGCTTTGGGATGTTAATACATTCAGATTTTTGTTTAAGGATAGCTGCTTTTATTTCATTTGACTTGTAAATATTCGGTAGTCCGTAAAAATTACTTGTTTTGGGGATGAAGTTTATTAGAAAGTCCTTTCTTTTTGTTAAAATTTTATTATATTTTGGGCAGAGTTTTGTCATTTTTTTATATAATATTTTGATCTATGTTGGTGACGATTAATTTATCGTTGTACTTATTCCCTTAGTACCTCTAGATTTTTTTGTTTTATAGTATAATGTTTCCATGATGACTATAGCGTTGCATTTGTCTGCTTCTTTTATAATTATGTTATTTTTCTAGATTTTCTCTAAGGCTAGTTTTTGTCAGTATGTGAGATTATTAAATGATTTGGATTTTTCTCGTAGGTTGTGGCTCCAGGGTTTTAAAAAAAAAACTATGTTTAGTTCATTTGTATTATTGTTTTTTGTTTGGGAATAATTTGTATTTATTTTTACTATTGAGTCATCTGTAATATTTTTGTTATTCTTAAATGTTTCCATTAGTCTGAGTTGGCGTTCAAATTCTCTAAGGTCTTTTTTTATGTCTGTTATATTACTTTTCGGGGCAGGGCAGAATTACAAGACTGAGGAGCCATAGGCGAAAGCGGGCTAGCGGTAAAATCGGCAAATATTAGTTTTAATATGATCTCATATATATAAAAATATATATATACTAGCAGGAGAGCCCGGCGTTGCCCGGGGATGCAACAGTAAGAGATAGATCAAGTATCGACCATCATAAAGACTGAAAAATAAAATTGACAAAGATTATTGTTTAAGGTTGACGGACACGCATGTCTTAATTATTTTTTTTTGTTTTTGTTTTGTTTTATTTTTTTTTTTTTTTTACGAATTGGTCAAACCCAAACTCAAACAAAAACATTGTTTTCAATCGTTATGAGTTTACCGATTGAATAGAATTTTATTATAAACAATTGTCTTGTAAATGGAATTTTTAAAGCATTCTGAATGTAAAAATAAAGAAAAAAAGTGTGCAATACAATAAGAAACACTACCTGCCAAAATAAATGAAGTTTTGTTGATATCGATTGAAAAATGTAGGAAATCCGATCCCATATATAAACGAACACACACACACACACACACACACACACACACACACACACAAACAACCTGGGTTTTATAAAAAATATAACTCGATATGATTTGCCCCCCTTTCATTCTGGCGACAGAATCGTGTTTTACCGTGTTTTCTAATTGATTTCGTGCAAAAACAATTGTGTTTTTCCAATTTTGGTGCTATCAGAACCACCGCAAGGTAATTTATGCAGTCCTGTGAAGTTTTGTTGAAATCAGTTTGAAAATGTAAGAAAATCGATCAAATATATAAACGTTAAACACACACACACACACACACACACACACACACAATCTGCGTTTTATAATAAGTAAGATATATATATATATATATATATATATATATATATATATGTGTGTGTGTGTGTGTGTGTGTGTGTGTGTGTGTTTGTGTGTGTGTGTGTGTGTGTGAGAGAGAGAGAGAGACACACACACACAGAGACAGACAAAGTGGAGTGATTAGAAGACGGATATATATATATATAGATATATATATATATATATATATATATATATATATATTCAGTTGTATGGATAGAAGTTTGTGACTGCTTGTGCTAATAATATATGATCGATGTATAATAACAGAGCTATAATTTATATAAATTATATATTAATAAAATAAATATACATAATTTATATATTAATATAATAAATATACATTTTTTTCTCACAGGTACTTTTGATTTCAGGCACAACGCAATCTTCAGGTGCAGACTGAGGATTGAGTTGTACGTGAAAACAGAGTCGTACTACAGATCAGAAAAAAATGTATTTTATTATTCATATTTTTTTATTCATATATATATATATATATATATATATATATATATATATATATATATATATATATATATATATATATATATATATGTTTGAAACAGTACAGAAGCGTATTAAGGCATAAAAAGCAAGAAATTTTATATTATAGGCCATGATAGATTTAAAACAAAAACACACACCAGTCGACCGGTTTCGTCCCCTCTCATCAGAACTGTTAACGGGGAACTAAAATTATGAAGAGGAGGAAAAGAAAAAGTCTGTCATGGATGACATGAATGAGTGGACAGGGAGAAAAAAAATAATAATTATAAAAATTATACTAACAAAAATGCTAGAAGCGCAGCACTGCAAGTTCAAGCAAACAATCTCTTTGTTTACAAAGAGCAGGTTGCCTGGACCTGATGTACAGCGTCTCCAACATCTTAAGATGGAATAATGAGTGCGATCTGGCCAAAACGGAAAACCAGTTCACACTGAAATCCATCGCACAAGTGGGATTCTTTATAAAGTGATCCGCAAACGAAGACCAATACGTGTTATGAATGGTATCGCCCAAAGAAAAATTTTATCAAGTATTATAGCAGGTACGTGTTGTTTAATTCTAACGTCCAAACGCTGTGTCGTTCTACCTCTGTAGTCGCATCCACAACTACATTTGAAATGGTAAATAACAGAATTAATATGGTGGTGGTGGGGGGGTAGAACATCTTTACACATAGATGAAAGTACGGACTTAGTTTGAAAGACAACACGAACGTTCGTTGCAAAATAACACTCACGTGAACTACATGAAATACGCTTGGCGAAGGATTCGCTAATCCTACCCAACCACGGTAAACGAAGATAGACCGGACATTTACCCACAAATACAGGTTTGATTTTATTGAATCTGGCAGTCTTATCCCGAATAACCGATTGAACAATGTTCAACGGATAACCATTGTTCACAAAGATCTCAGTTAAACAACTGATTTCATCTTTCAAGGTGTCACCCGAACAAATCATTAACGCCCTATGTGTCAGGGTCCTAATCAAATTTATCTTTTGTCGTTTAGGACAAAAAGAGTCCCATCGAGTATATAGACCTGTAAAGGTAGACTTCCTGTAAACAGAGGTAATAAACGAGGAAGGAGTTCTTTGAACAAGAACATCTAAGAAGGGCAATTGACCTCCTTATCTACTGTAAATTTAAGGGCAGGATGAACACCGTTGAGTAGGGGAAAAAATTGATCCACTTCCGATTCATGGCTGAACACACAAAAAGTGTCATCCACATGCCGAAAGTAAACCTTGGGTCGGGCAGAACCTAACAAAAGGCTTTCCTCGTGAAAGCCCACGAGTCTATCTTCGTTTACCGTGGTTGGGTAGGATTAGTGAATCCTTAGCCAAGCGTATTTCATGTAGTTCACGTGAGGGTTATTGTGCAGCGAACATTCGTTTTATTTTCCAAACTAAGTCCGTACTTTCATCCATATTAATTTTGCTATTTACCATTTCAAATGTAGTTGTGGATGCGACTACATAGGTAGAACGACACAGCGTTTGGACGTTAGAATTAAACAACACGTACCTGCTATAATCCTACTTATTATAAAACGCAGATTGTGTGTGTGTGTGTCTGTGTGTGTGTGTGTGTGTGTGTGTGTGTGTCTGTAACGTTTATATATTGGATCAGATTTCATACATTTTTCAACCGATTTCAACAAAACTTCACAGGACTACGTAAAATTACCTTGCGGTGGTTCTAACAGCGCCAAAAATTGGAAAAACACAATTGTTTTAGCACAAAATCAATTTGAAAACACGATTAAGAGGCATTAATGAAAGGGGGACAACTCACATCGGGTTAAAAACCAAGGTTGTGTGTGTGTGTGTGTGTGTGTGTGTGTGTGTGTGTGTGTGTGTGTGTGTGTTCGTTTATATATGGGTCGGATTTCTTACATTTTTCAACCGATTTCAACAAAACTTTATAATTCCCTTTGCAATTTGGTACAAGGGTTCTATAAGGCTTTGATTCTATTTGAAATTTATTAAATATTTAAAAGAAAATGTTAAGAAATAATTTAAAAATGCCGACGTAAAAAATCTGATAGACAAAAAACAAAAATATTTCGAAGATGATAATTATTAAGGAAAGAATACAGTACTTACATTGTATCCGACATTTCTGCTAAATTCCTTTTTTGTTTTTTGTTTTTTGGTTCCTGCAGGTGAGTCTTTTACGAGGGGCTTCTGTATTTCTTAAGGGTTTACGAGAATTTTCGTCGTTTCATCAGCGAACTTCGACTCATAATTGACTTTTTAAACTTCAATAATTGTCCACACGAGGGTGCCTTTTCGGGCGCCAAGGTCATCCCCCTCCTCCCCTTACGGACGGCCTCCATACACGCACTAACGCAACAGGATACGGAATATTCGCTAAGAGAGAGAGAGGGTATTGTCACTCTCTCTTCTTTCACATAAGGTTTGTGTTGAGGGTGGACAGACACTATTACCGATCTTTCCCCTACTTTAATGACAGCGATATCTACCGTGATTTCCTCTTTCGCTGGCCGATTTTTTTAATAGAGAGTGGAACGTCACTCAAGGTCAAATATCTTACTTATTATAAAACACAGATTGTGTGTGTGTGTGTGTGTGTGTGTGTGTGTGTGTGTGTGTGTGTGTGTGTGTGTGTGTGTGTGTGTGTGTACGTTTATATATTGGATCGCATTTCCTACATTTTCAACCAATTTCAACAAAACTTTACAGGACTACGTAAAATTACCTTGCGGTGGTTCTGACAGCACCAAAACATTGGAAAAACACAATTGTTTTTGCACAATATCAATTTGACAACTCAATTAAAAGGCATCGCTGTCACGAGAATGGAAGGGGGACAACTCATATCGAGTTATACTTATTATAAAACCCAGGTTGTTTGTTTGTGTGTGTGTGTGTGTGTGTTCCTTTATATATGGGATCGGATTTCCTACATTTTTCAACCGATTTCAAGAAAACTTTACTTTTTTTTGGCAGGTAGTGTTTCTTATTGTCTTGCACACTTTTTTTTTATTTTTACATTCAGAATGCTTTAAAAATTCCATTTACAAGACAATTGTTTATAATAAAATTCTATTCAATCGGTAGACTCATAACGATTGAAAGCAATGTTTTTGTTTAAGTTTGCGTTTGACCAATTCGTAAAAAAAAAAAAAAAAAAAAAACTAATTAAGACATGTGTGTTCGTCAACCTTAAACAATAATCTTTGTCAATTTTATTTTTCAGTCTTTATGATGGTCGATACTTGATCTATCTCTTACTGTTACATCACCGGGCAATGCCGGGCTCTACTGCTAGTACTTAATAAAAAATTTTCTTTGGGCGATACCATTCGTACACGTATGGGTCTTCGATTGCGGATCACTTTATAAAGAATCCCACTTGTGCGATGGATTTCAGTGTGAACTGGTTTTCCGTTTTGGCCAGATCGCACTCATTATTCCATCTTAAGATGTTGGAGACGCTGTACATCAGGTCCAGGCAACAATATTGAGTGGCTTGCTGGGCAGGCCATTCTTGCCCCAAAAACACCACTGTGACAACCCTTAATAGACAGCTTCTGGAAACTGTGCCAGGGGTGTTGCATTTACAAATCCATTGACAGAACTCAGACCCCGCTGAAATGGCGAACTTTCAGTGGGTTCTTAAACAGCCTCCACCCCGCTGGTCTCCCGACTCACATTCTGGAACTTAAAGTGGGGATCCCGGTTATGTTGCTTAGAAACCTGCGTCCACCGAAACGCTGTGATCGGACCAGGATGGTTATTCAGACCCTACACCCAAACATTATTGAGGCCACAATTATAACTGGCTGCAGTTTAGGGGAGCAAGTGTTTATCCCAATGATGCATTTGTATCCATCAGATCTTCTGAAAGTGAAGGGTACATCGGCATCTGATGGATACAAATGCATCCTTGGGATTAGCACTTGCTCCCCTTTACCGCATTACTGTGAAGCATTGAACTCATCGCCAACTAATGTATAGTTACAAGCATTAATTGTCTCTCCTCACATCACCATACCATTTGTACAGAATTGAATGACACCGACCAGATTACGGCCCTTTCAAAAATGCGTGCGAGACCCCTTCGTGCAGCAAAAATCGATAAAAAGCTCCGGTTCGACCCTGCCATCAACTGTCAGTTTTTGACTTCTTTTCACGCTCAGGCTGCAATTAACGTCAAATGTCGATTCAACTTCCGACATTTATGGCGTCAATACGTATCGGAGACAGATTTTCAATTTGGACTCAGGCTTTCAAAAAAAAATGGTAAATCTGCTGGTACTCCGGTATTTAGGCGGATTATATTCTAAAATTCCGGGTGTTCTTTACAATTCAACCAGAAATTCCTACGCGACCCAGTTAGAAGTGCCTTGCATAGAATGCCATGTGACCCCGTCATGACTCAAAAATCGATACAAACCTCCGGGTTGACCATGCTCTCAGCAGTCCATTTCCCACTTCTTTAAACTTTGTTCTTTCTCCCAGACCGCATCCCAGATCCGATTTTTCAATTTATGTCATTGTGTCATGCCGGATCTCGAATTTTTATTTGGGACTCAAACTTCGTAAAACAAAAACGATTAACTCACAGGTGATACGGATTTTGGGGGTTTTACGTTGAATATCTCACCTGTACTACGCGGCCCAGTGCATCTAAGCTTTTCACCTCATTTTGGACTCTGTCTAGTTGACTTCGCGTTGTTAAACACTTTTGAGCTCTTTTTATTTGAACTTAAAATCAGATCAATGTATGGTTTCCAAAGTACCGGGTTAGCAAAACAAAGGCAACAACAACAACCCCGACCAAGTAGTATGACCAGTCTCAATATTTCAGGAAACAAGGTTGGGTGTGAAAAAGTATTTGTTATTAACATTGTTTTTCATTCAGTTTTCAGTTACGAGTCCTTTTTAAAAGCTAATCGTTTTGTGTTCATTTTGTTTAGTTCTTTTTTCGTAACAGATTTAATGTTTAGTATAGAGCTTAGAAAAAAAAATTCGCAGTGTGAGATAGGCAAGAAGTAAAGGCATGTACAACATCTTTTGGCAAAGGGCACTCCTTTAAAAGGCAAGGAAGGGCAAAAAATATTTTAAGTCAAGTGATAGAGATTGCTGTATGAGCCGTACGATTTTTGAATCAAGCACGGGCAACGCCAGGCTATGCTGCTATATATATATATATATATATATATATATATATATATATATATATATATATATATAAAGGCATAAAAAGCAGAAATTATATAAATAAATAAATTATATATTAATAAAATAAAATATTATTTATTCTGGTTGGTTTGAAGATCAGGAGAAACTGATTCCCTGAGTGTTGCTGGCGTTGTGACCACTGTAGACAACCCTTGGACGTTTACAAATCCATTAGTGTCCGCTGGAATAATACCTTTGCCAAGGGCTAATAATGAATTCGAAAATTCGGCGGACCCAACATCGCCATTTAGGTGTGCACGTATGTTGGTGGTAAGGTGCAATGGTCTAACAGTGGGCCAAAGTTGTGACGATTTCAAGCACGCTCGAATAGCGTCGACCCTTGTCCCCTTAGGTACAACGGGGAGGTTCTGGCGAAAGTCACCGGATAGAAGGACAGTTATACCTCCCATAAGGACATCGGAGTTTCGAATATCTTTCAGAGAGCGGTTTGCAGCCTCGAGTGCAGTTTTAGGACTGACAGTGCACTTATCCCAGACGATGAGCTTACATCGCCTGAGTACCTCCGCTAGACCTGATTGCTTGGCTATGCATACAGCTGTTTCTGCTTTAATCAGGTCAAGCGGAAGTTTAAACGTTGAGTGCACTGTTCGGCCACCCGTTAGTAATGTGGCAGCAATGCCTGAAAACGCTACTGCTAGCGCCACTTCGCCATGGCGCTGAATTTCTGCAAGAAGCAGTTTTGTTACGAACGTTTTTCCCGTTCCCCTAGGCGCGTCCAGGATGAAAATTGATCCTGTATCCTGCCTGGTGGATGCAAAAACCGCATCGTAAGCGGCCCTTCGGTCTATGAGAAGTTTTGGCTCATTTGTTGTGACATAGGTGAGCTCCTCAACAGAGTAGGATGTCTCCTGCACAATCTCAAATGAGAGACTGGAGGAAGCCACACGATCTGGCGTTGAAAGCCCAATAGCGGCCAGAGATCCATCCCACCATTTCAACAAACAGGCGCCCTGTTGTAAATTTCATCGTTGAATGTAAGAGCCATTGTTAGACACATCAATTGCGCTTCTCTGAGTATGTCTTCGGACAAAAAGTCATTTTTTTTTCCCAAAATGATTTGGGATCACTGGGTTCGCACATTTGTAAGATTGTGGTGAAGAGGTAGCGCAAAGCAGAGGGCATTTTTAAAAGAGCTTCCTCAGCCATTGTGGCATCCTACTGGCTGTCGTCTTCCAAAAGGCCGAGACGGAGGCAGGCCTCAGGAAAAGTGTCACATAAAACTCCATTAACCGTCCGTAAGTTATTGTAGCTCGTTGGACGACTAACTTCGTGCAAAAGGAGTCGCAAGTAAAAACATTCTTGTCACGATGGGGGAACCGTGAATACCCTTCCGAGTGTAGCATCTTTTTTGACGCCTGGATAGCCCTTGAAGTTGGCCCCGCGCTTCCGCCGAGCCCAGTTGTTCTTTTTGTCCACACGTAGTATGAAGGCACGTCTGGGTACAGTAGAGTCCTAGCAAACTCGTCCTGTCGCCAAAGTTTGAAGAACGCTGTAAGCCACATCCATTGCTGTATCCGCAGAAAAATAACGAAGTTCGTCGTTTACTAGGTGCACAGCAAGCTGGACGATTGTTGGGAAGCGTTCGTGGATGGCGAAGCTGAATATGTGCCAAGGGCCCTCTGTGCTGCTAATGACGCGCCCTGCAAGGAAGCCCTGGATTTCGTCTACGGAACCTTCCTGCCTAATACCAAACATTGCAGCATCAGTCCCTTTGTTAATGTACTTGCATACATACTTGATGGAGCGAACTGAATGGCAATATTCGACATTGATGTGCGCATTGAACGCTTTTCTTAGCAGTAGACAGTATGGCACTACCCATCTGTTATCCACATGGTGGCCCTTTACCACGGCTGTAAATCCTCCCTCAGCGGGACTCCTTCGCCAGTACAGTGGATAACCATCGCTCCCTGTAATAGTTTCGCTCACGAAATCTCGTGGGTACTGCCAGGTGCATTTGCCGTCGCTGTTGTGACAGCTGGTGTAATTGTAATGCGACCCGCAGGGACCATGAATCATGTTGGTTGTCACTATTTCGTAAAATTCAGTGTCAGCCGACGGATCAGGAATTTCAGCAGAAATAAGATGATCGATTTCTGTGGCCTCAATCTTGTCACACAGCTAAATTAGTATATGTGCGTGAGGCAGGCCGCGTTTCTGCCACTCAATAGTGTGCATGCGACAGCAAACAGCCCCCAAAACCAGGCCCTTTGTAATCACATCCATTAGCTTTCCCAACTTCAGATGGTAAACGCGCGCAATGAGGTCTGGACGGTCGTAGGCCGATTGCCCTGGCATAAGTTCTTTACCTATTGTGTACCATTTTGGGTTACACATGAAAGTTATAAATAAGTCTGGTCGGCCGTACTTACGAACGTATGTCATTGCGTCTTGCGTCGTCGCGTGCATGTATCGTGGACTGCCTGTGAACGTTGCAGGTAAAATGCACATCTTGCCTATATTACGTGAATCAGCGTCATTTCGTAAAGCATCACGGAGGTGAATGTAAGAGTCGCAGCGCAACTTGGTCTGACTCAGTCTAATGTAACAGAGTCTTTCGGATTCCATCTTAGCAGCCATGTCTACTATGAATTAATGGAAAAGTTACCGGCTTGGATTAAGATGATTGAATGAACCCTCATGTATCATCAATAGGTAGGCGTAAAAAGCCCTGGAAGACACTGTTTTTAAGGTGGACCCATTTTGCAGAATGCCAAAGTGGTACCCATCTTCTCCGTAAGGGAAGAGAAGTGGGTATTGCAGTGCATCGTAGGACCGGTGCGTTTCACTGATTCTTCGGTGCCCACTGCCGCGGGATTCGATACAATGTCACGTCTGTTGTGCTGATCACCGCTGACAATGACGGAAACTTCAATACTTGCGGGAGCATTGTAACGACGTTCGAGATCTCCCTGAGGCCATTTGTCAGCATCAATTACAATAATGAAATTAGAAGAAGTGTTATTTTCGAGAGCATATTTAAAACTGCGGACATAGCTGTTTGTCTCGTGGAGTATTTGTTGGAGACTCATTATGATATCCCTGCGAGAATGATAGTCCTGGCCTGTATCGTTCTCGGGAATTAAGACCATGCGGGCATCTTCCTGTTGATTGTAGTCAGCTATGGAGTATATTAGTAGAAAGGCCGAATCAGTGGCAGTTTCCGGCAAAAGAGAAGGTGAGATTCCAACCGACTTCGCGGAAGGCATTACCGCCAAAAGAGGTCGTCTGGAAGGCACAATTGTACTGTCTGATTTTTGCGAGGAAATGTTTGGAGTCTGGACTGGAACCCTCCAACGGAGCTTTCAACAGACCAGTTAGTTCTTGAAAAGGTTGCAACTCTACCTTACCGTCTGAACAACACAAACCTGCAGACTCCCCAGGCCATTTTTTGGCATTGCAATGCCCACAGACAACTGACATGGATCCTATTTGGAGGTCTTTGCGACCGGAAAGCCTCAAAACTGGCTCATAGTTGAACGCCAGCTTAAACCAAAACTGCTTTGGTGGGCTACAGAGCCCTCGCTGTGCATGGCGGCGCTGGTTAACGGTTTACAACCTTTCAAGCCTTTCACTAGGTCCTTCTACAGCTCTAGCAGCGGAAGTTGAAATTGCATCGCGTTGTCGCCTTGGGCGCTTTTGCGCGGAAATTTCCGACGCCCTTGCAGCAGTAGTTGCAGCGGCGTCGGCTGCATCGCGTGCGGTTTTCTCAGCCATGGATTCCTATGACCGTCGAATGAACCTTGCCGCAGATTTCGCTGCGTTATGTGCGGTTTTCTCAGGCGTGCTCTCCTGGGACCGTTGAATGGAAGTTATAGCGGCGTCGGCTGCATTGCGAGTAGCTTTTCGATGCGGGCTCTGTCGAGACCGTAAAATCGCTTGTGATGAAGCCGCTTTTTTGTTGTCTTGCAAGCGTTTAGATAGTTTCCTCTTACTTTTCAACGAATATGTGTAAACTAATTTGCAGTACAAACGGTAGTTACGCTCACCAAGCGTTTCATGTGACAAAACGTACTGGGCGTATCAGTTTTGGGGTTTTATCGATTTTCCGCGCTGTTTAGGGGTCCGTGGTCATGAAATTTCTGGACAACACTTCTAATGGTAGACTCTAAGAGGGTGTCAAATTTGGTTGAAATGCGATCATTCCTTCTGTAAGCTGATTTTTTCGATTATCGATTTTTTCGGAACCTGATTCCGAACTCAAAAATTGGGCTCCATCATGTCCTTACGGCAGCCATTTGCAAACTTGTGGTGAAAACCGCATCGAAATCGGGTGAGAAATGCGGCCTGGACGAGGTAACAACGCCCACAACAGACAGACAACATGAGACATAGATAGATATATATATATATATATATATATATATATATATATATATATATATATATATATGTATAATTAATAGAAATCTCATAAGTATAAGAAACTATACTCGCTCGGAAAAACTTCGCTGTATTGATTTGCAAATAAACAAGCCAATACCAAAGGTAAAAAAAGGTATAAAAAAGAAAGAACCAAGAACATGTGCGTTAACCAAAAATAATCGTCCAGCATACGTGTTTAAGGCCCAAAGACGAAAACCCCGATGCGAGTATCCAAAACAACTAAATAAATAAAGTGCTCAATACAATGAGTAAAGGAGACCTAGTTAAACGTAGAGAGCCAGACAAACCTACCAAGGTTTCACCTAACCGGATCGTCAGGGAAAGCCGGCATTCCCTGAGGATCGCTTCGATAAACCTTGGTAGGTTTGTCTATCTCTAGGTTTAAGTATATATATATATATATATATATATATATATATATATATATATATATATATATATATATATGTAATGATCGTTGGTATAATCCAGACGAGTCCTATTAACACAACATAGAACTTGAAATATGTTAAAACTGACTGACAAAAGAGCATTGAATGTTTATTTTCATTAAACAGACCAAATTTTCTTTATAATTGGAATTAAGATACATTTAGTCATTTTCACCTACGAATTTTAATGTTTAACTTCGCAGGATTTTTCAAACTGATTATGGTATCAGTTTGTAGTTTGATGTTTATTTGGAGAAAGAGAGAGAGTATATTATAGGGGACTTATTCAGAGGTATGGGGAGAAGGAGGCGGCGTTACTAGAATCATATTATGGCGGTAGGAGAGCCTGGGTAGGGGAGATCTGATATCATAACCAGTTTGAAAAATCCTGCGAATTTAAAATTAAAATTCGTAGGTGAAAATGGTCATGTACTAAAAAGTATCTTAATTCAATTGTAAAGAATATATATATATATATATATGTGTGTGTGTGTGTGTGTGTGTAACATATCCATAACGTATATATATATATATATATATATATATATATATATATATATATATATATATAGGGAGACGATAGATATATTGGAGAGAGAGTCAGAGGAAGGCGAATATATATATAAAGTTGTAGGTATATACTGTATCCCGGCTTATATTTTTCTATGCCAGCGTGTTTTATTTGCCTTATCTGATCACTATGTGTCTGGTGCGTTTCATAGCTACACGCTCGTCTGAGGTTTCTTTAGTCGAACGGCGAACACGTCTCTAAAAATCGATAGCTATGATTGATTGACGTGACCACCAGACAAAGCGACTGGATATTAACACTCGTGGGATATGTCTAAAAAGGCCGACTGTTTGCGAGGAAAATAAAAAAAAAGCGATGACTATATTTATAGGGTAATTTAATAAATCAATAGTGACACGTAGACTTTTTAAAACACCTTCACCGTTAGACTGTGAATTTGTAATGGGAATTAGACAGAAATGCTTGGCCATAAAGACAAACACTAACAATAAGAGAAATAAATATGCGAAGGTGGAGCCGTAACGAGAGCACAAACTAAAAAAATAATGTTATTAATAGCTTTTTTTCGTAATCTCCGATTTCACGGTCAGTATTTATCGAACAAATACGTCAAAATTTTAGCCCAAACTTATGATTACATCGATAGCGACACAGTATATACTAAAAGCATATATAAAAATTAATTGCCTGTTATTTTACTAGAGAAAAACATTACAATTATTTATTAAGCAAATAAGAAAAAATTCACTGTAATGTCAGTGACATGACGTTAGAGTAAAAACAGAAACGAATAAAGAAACCTTGAAAAGAATACACCAAGTTAAAGTATCTGTCAGTAGTTAAAGTATATTTCAGAGATGAGATATTATCTACACTATTTACATTATTCGGACTATTGTCCTCATCTTTGTCGCTATGTTTATCACAACGTTTCGGCCGTTGTACGCTCCGGCCTTCTGAGCCGACCAAGCATAGAAATGAATACAATATAGGGACCAGTAATAAGGAATGCGAGTGAAAAGCGATAATAGCAACAAATTTGCAATATGAGCTCTGGTAAAAAATGATTGCTGAAGACATTAGGTTTATAATACCCAGAAATTCATACACAGATGTCCTCAAGGACACATGGCACAGTGGATAAAGGCGTCAGTTAGATCCAGGGACAGGACCCAAAGTGTGTTCAAGACCTGGTTAAGGCGGTGGAGAACTTGGAGAGGGGAATTAGCAGGAGATAACTGAATCCATTAGACCTGGCACGTGGAACTAGAACAGTCTACCCCAGCGAGCGAAATAAAGAGTTCAGTTCGACATTCCAGCCCCCTGAAGAAGGCCGGAGCGTACAACGGCCGAAACGTTGTGATAAACATGGCGACAAAGATGAGGACAATAGTCTGAATAATGTAAATAGTGTACCAAGTTAAAGGTTGAGGAAAGTGTTACTAGCTCTTTCTTTATTTGGTCTGCATTTGGGCTGAGATCAAAGTGTTTACTGTAAACTATGCGGGGAAACATGGTTGGAGGACATCAGCCTTGCAGCAGCACCACCCTGGTTGCACTAAAGAGGTAGGCTCGGCGGAATCTGAACGCCCGTTTGACAGTCGTCACAGACAGGGCAATTTTAAAAATGATTTCGTCTTACCACTTGCAACGTAATATTTACTCGGGCATTAAACTGTGATCAAAGTGAAATATCTGTTCTTCCCCTGTCTGCCGTCTTCGTGCAGTTCCCAGGAGGAGCTTTAATAGGTGCCTGGTCACAGAAATGTCAATCCTTCCTCAATACACTAAAAGAGGCAGTGTCGGTGGTCACATATAAATTACGACAGCAACGCTGCCCTCTTACTTATTACGTCACATATGCATCATATGATTGAATCGATTTCTCGAAATGGGGAATTTATACACATTCAATATACTAATATCTCAAATCTACGATCCCCCGAAAAAATAAAATTCGGTCGAGCACTTTAGAGGGTAAGCGCGAATTTGTAAACAGTGACTGCTACTGCTGATAATGCAAGGCTCTTCTATGAAACGAGTATTCTGAGTCACTGTCGTGTTTATTCAAAAATAAATACACCTTCGTCTCTGCCGGGAGCTGATAGCTTCGATCCGGGCTTAAGGCAACTGGGTGTCTAGCTACACTACAGCGAAACAATCTATGTGTGGTTGACAATATATATATATATATATATATATATATATATATATATATATGATTAAGTAATAAGTGATAAGGAAAGCAATTTAGTTGTGGTAGTGTATATGTGGCAGTCATAGGAGGCGGTCACGTTTTAATTCCGTTTGAGCGCAGAACGAACGTCTGTTGAAACAAAAATATGGCGTATACTATCTCTAAGGTGACTACTGCTGAATTTATTTCTCAGGTGACAGTAGCGAAAATAAACAGCATATGAACTTCTTGGAGTGGGCTGCATTTCAGTAAAAATAGTAAGTACTGACATCTAATAGGATAGTGTCAAATGTAAGTTCTGTAACACATATATATTTACAATTGTTCTTTATAGAATCAATTCAGCTTCATTCAATGGTCATATCACGAAGTTTATGTAACTAAGATAGTACCGCTTATCTCTAACGCGAGGTGTTAAAGTTATTTGTTTATCTTAAACGCGCTAATCCAGGTTTCTCCAAAGAGAGATTATGATAATTTACAATAAAAGGCAGAAATAAACAACGAAAATATTGGTATGAAAGTGTACATGAATGGTTCGCTTTTCTTGATACTTTTTTAGAAGTCCGGGAAGAAAACACATCAGGTTTAAACCTGATGTGTTTTCTTCCCGGACTTATTCAACCTATACAATGAGGCGATTCTTATAGAATTAGAAGTCCTATCAGGATTCATTATTGGCAGCCACAATGTTAACAACATAAGATATGCAGATGACACAGTGTTGACAGAAGACAGAAAAGAAACTACAAAAATCTCTACAGTATTTAGTAAAATAAAGCAAGAAGAAATAACTATAAATCAATTGAACGAAATCAGAATGCATGATTGTCAGCAAATGTGAACAGCCCAATGCAAATTACAAATTGGAGATACCAAAATGTTTTAACAGGGGGCGAAAAGTGCGATACTGAAATCCGAAGGCGAATTGGTAAAGTGAAATATGCCTTCCAAAATCTAAAGAAAGTATCAAGAAAAATTTCGTTAGAAACAAAGAAAAGAGTAGTGAAGTGTTACGTAATATCAGTCTTCCTATATGGCTGCAAATGTTGGACAATCTCCTTACAGATAAAGAAGAGACTTGAAGCAACAGAAATGTGGTTCTACAGAAGGATGCTGAGAATACTGTGGATCGAACATGTGAGCAACGACGAAGATTTAGAGAAAACAG